CTAGCCAAAAATGTGTGTACATTTGCACAGTAAAGATAAATTACCACGTATAAGGTGTGCCCCATTTATGGCTGCTGCAGCATTTGTTAGATCTCTAGTTTTTTCATTGCGGCTGCATTACTTGCTGTACGCAAATGCAAGGCGTTCTGGGAGTGGAGGAGTGAAGATCGTGATGGTCATTGGTGTAGTATGAACTAATTATCTGTTGTGCCTGTTTGTTTTTGTATGCAAAAAGTGGAATAAAAACAAATTCCTAATGAAAATGTGATCCTGGGGCATACATCAGACTTTTCAGGAGACATCATGCTTCAGATTGCCAACTGTTTACAAACAGGTGTGAAGATTACTGTGTGGATAGGAGAAGGACTCTAGTGAAACAAAGTGCATAGTGTTTAAACAAAGTGCATAGTGTTTAAACACTAGCACAAACACTGTGTCTCACGATAATTAAAAAGAATTCCAAATTCAAATGTGCCAAATACTTACCTGAAACTGTGCTCCAAACAGATAATAGCAATCTGGCACATATCCGTTTCTACTTCTTGGTGAACAGTGTCCCTGGTTGCTAGGCAGTTGCTATGGCCAAAACTATGTCAGAATAAGCAGAGCTTATTTTTCACTACAAGGTGGTTAATTCTACTTAATGATACTTACCTGTAAATGTCCTTTCCTTTTACTTTCCTCATGTCAGCCAAGCGATCCTTCCCTAGTGACCGTGTGAGTTCTAGGGAGTAAGAAGGAAGGGTGATAGCCTAAGTGGGCTGACATAAGGTGATGCCAGAAAGGGGAAATTACAGGTAAGTAAGATTCTCCATATTTAGTACATTTGGCATCATGCCTATATACTGTAATTTTCTATGTAATTTTGTGTGTGTAAATCTGTTACAATGTTGCAAGCTAACAACGATAGTTGAATTTATAAACAATTCTGACTATATTTTGCACTATGTATAGGAGTTGTGGAAATGGTGCTGATTCTTTATCTGACCACTGGTGAATGTCTAATGTTACAAAATGTTATGTTTTTGGTATTTTCGGAACTGCCAAATTAAATGTTAGTCATCCAGCTAGAAAAATAGACACTATCCAATATTATTTAGGCCACCTAAGAAAGTGTATGTCATCCTAAATGACAAAAGTAGAATGTTTAGAAATCATCGATTGTTCAACATATTGGGAAATGTTTTGTCCTATACACTGCATACCTGTGCTGGCTCATTGCAAATTTCAGGAAGATTAACTTGTTCCTTTGGAAGGAACTGAGCGGATTCCTCTTCCTGTTAAGTGCAATCAAATAGATTTTGAGTGTGCAGCGCTATTAAAGTGTAATCCCCTCTTCGGGTATATCAAAAATTTATATAAATAAGTTATGGAGTTAAGTTATATACATTTTTAAATACATTTTTGATATACCCGAAGAGGGGATTACACTTTATTCACTTTAATAGCGCTGCACACTCAAAATCTTTTTTATCTTCACAAAACATAGTGCAGCAGCTCTCACATCGCACCCAGTCCAGAAGCGCAGATTTTACATTGTTTCAAGTGCAATCAAATACCTAATGATAGAGAGTTTCCTCCCTACAACTGAAGATGCACTTTCTCAACCTCAGCCATTTAGCTGACTGTATCTCTGCATATGACAACCTGCTGGGAAGGGACATCCTGAGAGTACACAAGTAACAATGGTTCCAACGACAATGCCTATGCCCAAAAGACTGCAGATGGTTGGGTAAATATTGGAGTGTGCGGTCATTACACACCTCAGACGATATGCAGGCCAATAAAATTAGCATATATGAGTATTGCCTTAACTAATCAGAGAACTCCATTGTGATAACCTTGGTAAGAAACACTCCTGCCTGTACCAACAACAACAAGCCTACATCTTCAGATAATCAGGAACACAGTCACCCCAAATTCCACAGCCAAATCCCATTCAGCTACCCCCAGTAAAAAAAAACACCTCTCCTTCAAGGAAAAATGTCTTCCTCTCTTTTCACAAAACCCCGTCCTCCCTTCCCAAAAGGTCTCCTTTACTCTCCTACCCCAAGCAAAAACCCTACCAGACCTAAGACACAGACTTTCACTTGTGACCTGTTAGAGCTTCCCTTGACTCTGTGCTGCTCTGCCAGTTGCAATACCACCTGCTCTTGTGATAACCTGTTATCATGTGTCACCTCTGATGAAGTTGCGTCTTTGAGGCAATGTATGTAGGGTGGAGCTGGGAAGCAAAGTGCACGGTCGACGGCGTTCACAAAGGATTGAGAAGTATATAACCAACTTTGATGCAATTTGTTTTTAATCTACATGTGAGTAGGAATTTGTTTGGATAAAGCGCTTTAAAAAAATATATATAAATTGATCTGCACTGTGGAGACAGGTACCACAAGTTTTATAAAGAAGAAAAGAAGTGGCAATACCACAGAGCAACCACACAGAAAGGAGATCAGGAGTTTTCCCCGTGTGCAGGAGAGTGGGCTACGCTCCCTTGCATGGGTTTCAAAAGAGGGGACAAGCGTGGTTAGACCTGTTTTGGGTCTAGGAGTCTGGTGATCAGTATTCCTAAAGATACGGTGGTGGAGATATCTGTTATTGGTCACATCTGTGAAATTTGCACAATATATCAAAGATTACTGACTGATTGTTTGAAAAAAGGAAGAAAAAACTATTTTTAAGAAGAAAAATAACTGAACTGTATATCATAGTTATTGTTTTATTACATCAATCAGCACAGAACTACATACAGATATATCATTGGTGGAGGCATCCAAGAATTGGTTGCATGGGTGTTTTTGGAACTTTATGCATATAGACTTAGGAATTATAACACAGCACGTTTTGTATATGATTTATGCATCTTATAATGTGTCTTTTGTACACTGGAGCTAAATCCATCACACAAAGTAACACACCCAGGCCACATGTGTTTCAAGTATTGATCAGTCTGCACTAGAAACAGTGACATCACTTGCAGTGATTAATTTTCAATCATTAATTTTCATGATATATGAAGTTAGCCAATTTTGCATATATGTAGACAGAAGTTGTACAGCCCTTCTCCCATCAATAAGTTAGTACAAACTAGCAAGAGTTCTCTTTTAGTCGCCATTCACACTTTTGCTTTGTGTGAACAGGCGCCAAATGTGCGCGCTGGTGCAACACGTTAAAAATGTGCAAAGCGCTTGCGGTGCCATCACTTGTATGTATGAAGTGTATGCAGAGAAAGGTTAAAAGACAACCTCACACAGATTATTAAATTATAGAAAAGAAACTTGCCCTACAGTCATAGTCATGTAATTATTATTATCACTCAAGCAAAACTATCCTTATGTCAAAATTTAGCTTGGGCTAAATTGCACTGCTGCTCAGAATACAGCATCGAAATTGGCAGCCATAGCCACAAAGGAGTCTCATCACCAGGGTTTTGGACACAGAAAGTAACCATTACCATATAATCCTAAGACATCTCCAATGAAATTGGCATATTTATTTCAAGTAAACAAAGGATTTTTACTTCTGTCCATTTGTTGCTAAGATTTACAAATCCCTGCCAGACAGCATGGCCAGTCTGGAGACCTGGGATTTCTCTTCTGTAATTAAGTGCAAGAGGCTGATAACAAACCAAGAAATACACATGATATTTTTAAATAAACATATAAACTTGAATGAACTATCTTTAGAGGGTTATATTAAATACATATTGACACCACATTTAATATAGCATTTATTGATTTCATTCTACTTCTGTTCACTGCATCTAAACATCAGCATCTTTAGCTACATTTACAGAAGAAGGACTGCTTGGAAAGGTTAGGTTTTTTTATTGTACCTCTGCGAGTTTTGGTAATCAAAGTGGTCTTAAATCATGTTAAAAATTATCAGTAATTAATAATGTGCAGCAATTATTAAGCGGCACAGTATCGTCTTCCATTTCCCTTGAAGGAGAATGAGTGCTGTACATTTACTATGCCTACATCAAAATATGGAAGGAGAGAAGAGTCTAGGAGGAACAAATTCTGTTCATGTAATTATGGGTCAACTTTGGCTTCAGGATCTAATGGACACATCACAAAATGGTGCTGTTAGGATTAGCATAAAGACAAAAGCTCTGTATAATCAATTGGAATGGTAAAAATGGGCGCTCACCTTTCTACAGGGAAACAGTCTGGTATGTCCCACCAGACATCAGGGAAAATTAGGTAACAATGACTACTCGCATACATTATTGATTAAACAAATGTGGTGCATCACTACAGCAAAGCAAATTGCACTGCTGCTCAGGAGCATGATCACCAGGGTTTTGGACACAGATAGTAACCATTACCATAAAATCCTGAGTCACTGCAATGAAATTGGCATAATTATTTTAAAAGGACTTACCAATAAGGAAACAGCTAAATACACAGATTAGACCTGTTTTAAACCAAATGGTTTAAATTAAATGGCACACTCTAATACATATTAGAGTGTGTAATTTAATAAAAAAACATTTTGACATAGTTCTTAGATTAAGTGAAACCATGCCTGCCCCCATATTTCATACCTAATACACATTTTTTTTAAAGAACACACATCAACAGTTCAACAACAGAATATGCAAACTTGCACCAGCATCTTCTGCTTGTGGATGGTAACAATTTTTCAAAATAATGTGTCAAAACAAACAGTTAACAATTTTCAGAGGAGACCTTTTTCAAGGTGTTTGGGAAAGGATGAATCTTTATCCAAGGACAGGACACCTAAAACATTCACATAAAAGCATTGACCTGCAAGTGGAAATACAAGCACTAGGTGCCACACTGGAGGGAAAAACCATACAGGAGGGAAAACACAGGGAAACAGCTCCTCCAGATCTTTCTTATGGAGGTGCTTTCTCTAGAATCAAACCTTGGTATTTACAATGTAAAAGGTCACATACTTTGTTTGAGAGCTTTGCCTTACAAAAATGCACCTTCCAAAATGTGTGGCATCAAAGTTCAAGTAATATTGGTGTTCTGTTTAATATTCATCCATGGTTGTCTCAAGAAATAGGTTCCTCACATCTAATATGGAAGCCAACTCCAAAATCTGTTTTTGCAGATGAAGGTTCTCCACTAGTTCATCCCGGGGAAGAGGAGGATAGGTTTCTGGGTAGTTCCTAGTTTCCTGGAAGACAACAGCACTTGTAAACAACTTTAACTATGGAGTAATATAATGCTATGCACAAAACACTTTAGAAAAAAGCATGTTATAAGCAAATATGTCACAAGTAAGCTAAATACTGTTTATTTTAACAAGTTTGAACCAGGTGGAGATTTTTAGGAGCTTTACATTCAACACTTGGTCATTTTTAAAAGATCCAATGCTTTATTGCTGCTTTATTACTAGCAATAAAGACAAAAGTACTATTTGAAATGCATTACTCATTCAAGCACATCTAAAGACCCTTTCTTATTATAATCATGATGATAAAGCAACACGTTCTTTCTAAAAAAAAAATAGGATTTTTGACTTACAGTAAATTCTTTTGCAGGACAGAGGCAGATTCAGAGATGACGACGGTAATATGCTGGCCAGAGATATGAGCCATTTCCCCTCCAGGAAATCCTCAGTTTTGTGAGGAGATGTCTCCTCTCCACTGAGATGTTGTCAATAAAGTGTCTCTGGCTGCGCCCAACATGGTGGCTATCTCACAGCGACTGGATCAGTGCCTCATTGTGACAGCTTTGGGGCCTTACCTGAACCCCACTGAATGGAAGAAGTGAAGCTGGCCTGTGATCTAGCTTTGGGCACTGTGTTCCCACCCTGTGCTGCTGTGGTGCAGCACATTGGGTTGTGTTTCTAGGTCCTCCTAGAAATGGATTTATGTCTAGGAGAAATAAAAGGAGCTCTTGTTAGCCTCTGAGGGTGCTATATAGGTCCAGGGCAGAGGTGGATTTGCACTGCTGTGACCCTGTCCCTGAAGTCCCCCTCCTGGGGGAGTGAAGCCAAGGTGTCCTCGTGAATAGTCGTGCATTGCCTGGTAGGTGTGTTCCTAACCCCGCTGGCCCTTTAAAATTTAAAAAAAATTTGCTGTTGCTGTTTTTTTGCCACTTGCTGTTGATGTTTTTACCACCACTGCCTATGTGGCCTGTGCAAAAAATGCTACATTTGCAGCTTCCTGGGGCCGGTACATGTGCAAGCATTATTGTGGCAACCTATGGCCCTGTTAGGGTCCTCGGCAGTCATATCCCAATATGACTGCCGAGGACCCTTACAGGGCCACCAGAGCAAGCTTAGTACAGGCTAGGGTACAAAATCTATACTCCCAAGCAAAATATCTGCATTGCTGCTGGATCGACTCTTAGTGTAGGTATGGTGAACATGTTTCTCTGTGCTTGACTAACTGCTATTTGCCTGTGCCCAATCTCATGTGTACTGACTTCCACCTTTCTGCCTGCCGCTGGATTGACCCTTCAAGAAAGATCTGGCCTGTCCACAAATACAATCTGTATATGGGTGGTGTAGATTTCAATGACCAGATGATGCAGCCCTACTTGGCAACCAGAAGTTGTTCACTGGTACAAAAAAGTTCCCATTTATCGTTTACATTTGGCTATGTACAATTCATATGTGATTTACAAGTCTGCAGGAAGAGCTGGCTCTAACCTAAAATATCAAGAAGACATTATTACAACCTTTATTTACCAGGAATGCCCTGCTCCTAAAAGGCTTCAGTCTGATGCAGTCAACAGGCTACATGAGAAACATTTCCCCGATCTGATCCCTCCCACCCTCAGTAGACCAGACACGACCCAGAAAAATGCGAGTGTCGCAAAAAAGAAAAAAGGCGGGACACACGTTACCATTGTCCCAACTGTCCCTCAAAACCTGGCCTCTGTGCTAAAGATTGCTTCCGTCTCTGCCATACCTCATAGCAAAATTAGTGTAGGTGAAGATGTTTCTCTGTGCTTGACTAGCTGCTATTTGTCTGTGGCCAATCTCATGTCTATTGACTTCCACATTTCTGCCTGCCACTGGACTGAACCTTTGCCCACATACTGACCACATCTCTGCCTGCCACCTGAACTGACCTTGGCCTGCATGCTGACCACGCCTCTGCCTGCTACCTGAACTTACCTAGGGCTGTTTGTGGACCACATTTCTGTCTGCCACCTGTAGTGACCGACCTGCATGTCCAACTGACAACATTCCACAAAAACACCAGTCCCAGCCATCTTCTGAAGACAGCTTCACTCCTGGAACCACAGATATTGTTTTGTTTACCCTTTGTCCGTCTTTCTGTACCTCCTGAACAATAAACATAGCATTGTGTATAATTCCTGGGGTTAGCCAAGTACCATTAGGCCTGCTTGGCTTGGGGGAATGGGGAAAGCTACACTTTGAAAGCCTCATGGTGCTTCTTGGAATTTTGGGCGCCACTATGTGGCTAGGCCGCAAAAAAGTCTCACATGCGTGGTATCCCCATACTCGGAAGGAGTGTTTTGGGGTGTGATTCTAAGGATGGCTATGCTGTGTGTTAGATATATCGACAGAATTGACAATATTGTTTATAAAAATACATTTCATTCACAAAGATTTTATTAAAAAATTTCCAAAAGCATATAAGTACAACCAGATATAAAAGATGTTTAGCAGTTAGCGAGCAGGTAGGGATCGCAGGATCCAGGAAATAAACATACATAAAAGAGAATGAGGACAGAACATCTCGATCGGAGAACAAATTGTGGCATTCATTAGGGAAAGGTTTTGCAAGAGCCAGATAAATGTGCAAAAGTATCTATCACTGATTGAGTGTAAGCCTATGGTCATGGCCCCTGGGCTATACAAAACAGCCGTTTCAAGGAAAGAGACAGGTGAAGAGGAGAAGAGTAGTACGACAGGTAAAGATCTCCAGAGAGAAGGAATAAAGAGGAGGAAGAAGGGTATAGTGCCGGACACCTTCGCAGGGTGACCCCCAAGGAGCCTAACTGGTCAAATGGCCATCAAGCTCTCCTGAGGCAGGGTTGGATGGGCGTATTGTATCCAAGGTTCCCAAATTCCCATAAAGCGTTTGTGTGTCCAAGAGGATGCTAGACAATTTCTCATTGATAAAAAAGAAGTCTATCCTGCGTCGTACCTCTGCAAATGAAACAAACAGCTTTTTCCAGGCCTGAGCTATGGTCTGTTTAGCAGCCAGCAAAATATAAACAGCTAGTTTGTGTTGAGACTTCGTAAGAGTCACTGGTTTGAGATGCAGGAGTGTGAACCAGGGATCCTTGCGTACTTGTGCCCGGAAAAGGTTCCGAAGTAGACGGAACGTGTGCACCCAAAATCTGCTGAGCATGGGGCAAGTCCACCAGGTGTGTAAAACATCCCCATTTACTGAGCAGCCATGAAAACAAAAGGCAGACCGGTCAGGGCATACGTGGGCTAGTCTGGTGGGAACAAGATACCATCTCATCAGGGATTTGTAGGCAGTCTCCATGGACGTGACGTTAATTGTGCACGTGGCCGCCGTGGTCCAGATCTGCTGCCATTCTGCCTCGGATTTGGAGGCTCCAAGGTCTCGCTCCCACCTTGAGACATATCCATGTCCCAACTGGGATGAGACCGAGTTGAGGTGGGCATATAGAGTATAGTAGTACTAAAGTATAGATATCAATTTCGACTGTGACGGTGTATGGTAGCAAATGTGTTCAAAAGTGGACAAGGTGGTTGCTGTTGCTCTGTTGGCGAAATGAAAAGAGGTCCAGTGCCGTAGCTGTATGTAGCGGAAATATTCCGCTGCTGGGGCTTGAGAAGTCTCCTGGATGGAAGGACAGCTGTGGATTGCGTCTCCCTCCAAAAAATGATGGAGGTAGGAGAACTTATGAGTTTTCCACCATGTAAATGCCCCAGGGGAGTCCAGGCCCAGAGGAAACAGAGGGTTGCCCAAAATGGGAAGCAAATGTAAATGTGGAGATATCAGCTTGCTATGATATTTTGTGCTGTCCCAGACTTTAAGGGTCAAACGCATTAAGGGGCTCATGGTACTGGGACGTTTAGATGGTGGAAGCCAGGGTAACGTCTCAACAGCGATGGGTAGGCAAAGCGCCCCTCCAATTCAGTCCACAGTGGAGCCTGTGAAACTAAAAATAGGCTAGTTAAGGGTGCTATCTGTGCTGTCTGAAAATATTTAATGAGGTTCGGTAGTCCCACCCACTTGCCTCCTATGAGTGCAGATTGTGGACTTAGGGATCCGAGTTCATTTGTGGTGCCATACAAAATCCAAAATTTGGTTCTGAATGGCACGCATAGCATTACTTGGTATTGCAACGGGCAGTGTGCGAAAGTAGTATAGCAGTTTAGGGAGGAGGATCATCTTGACAGAGTTGACTTTCCCCATCCAGGAGAGACAGTGATGGGACCAATTAGAAAGTAATTCCCTAGAATGTTTGAATAGAGCAATATAATTGGCTTTAAATAGTGAGTCATAGGTTCTGGTCAGATTTATACCCAGGTAACTTAGTTGGGTGTCCCGCCAGGTAAAGGGGAAGTTGTAACGAAGAGAGTCTACAGTTGTTGGCGTCAAGTTAATATTAAAGGCCAGTGATTTATCCTCATTAACGCTGAGGCAGGAGACTTGGGTGCACAAATTTACAGTGGCTAGCAGATTTGGTAGGGTGATGTGGGGTTGGGAGATGGTGAGAAGTAAGTCATCTGCAAAGAAGTTTGTTTTATATTCAGTTCCTCCCACTGAGATGCCATGGATGTTGGGGTTTTGACGCAGCGATTGTGCAAGTGGCTCAATAGCCAAGACAAAAAGGATAAGCGAGAGGGCCCTGTCGGGTTCCTCGCACAATTGGGAAGGGGGGAGATGAGTGGTCAGGTATCTTATGGAGGCTGAGGGGTCCAGAAGCCCCATTTGCCCAGTACATAGTATAAGTAATCCCAGGAGAGTGAGTCGAACGCTTTGTGGATATCCAATGGCAGTAACATACCTCTGGTGGCAGAGTCTTGCATGTGATGTATCAAGTGTATAATTTTCCTTCTAGCGTCAGGGGCCTGGCGACGAGGGGTGAAGCCCACTTGGTCCCTGTGTATCAGGTTTTCTAAGAAGGTGTTAATTCTGGTAGCTAAGATTTTCAAGAGTAATTTAGTGTCTATGTTCAATAAGGAGATGGGTCTGTAGTTGTGCGGGTCCA